CCAGTGTAAATAAATACATACAAACTGTAAATTTATTGTGAGAGGGGAATTTTTATACACATGAGGACGCTAGGAATGTGAAGGTGAGTTTTGGTATGAAATAATTTTTCATATGGAGCATTCAGGCTACAACCCAGGAGTTTGATGTCCTGTGATACAGATAGGGACTGATGAACCCAAGCAGAGATGAATGGTGGCCCCAGCAGCCTTTCAAAGCCACGGATTGCTGATAAGTGGAATTGTGACGGCTTTCCTTTGTCAAGCAACTTAAATGGATATCGGTGGAGCATTCACTCTCCACCTTTTGAGATGGCATTGTCTGCTGAACCTTCCCCACAAAGGTGCTCTGTTACTAAGTCTGATTAAACCCTCCAGATTACAAAGGAGGTTTGTAATGAGTACTGGCAGCTCAAGCCCAGTTCTATAATTAATCCCAGTTAAACCATTTTGCAAAGTAGACAGCATCTTGCTTAGAAATGAGTAAGTGTAAAAATCTACATGCTAGTGGTAAATTGATGATCTTGTTCCTACAGTTATACCTTGAGGTACTTCTTTCAACATTTGGCTGTAGGGCAACTGTGTTAAGTTGCTTTATATAGTAGGGTACACACAAACATATGAAAGTCCTTCATGCTGAGTCAGACCCTTGGTCTATCAAAGCCAGTATCGTCTACTCTGACTGGCAGCAGCTCTGCGGGGTCTCAGGCAGAGGCCTTTTCCCCATCACCTACACCCTGACCCTTTAAACTGGAGATGCTGTGGATTGAATCTGCATGTAAAGCAGTTGCTGTAGCACTGAGCTACAGCCCCCCCCCCCAGCTTTCCAATAACTAGACCCATTTCAGTCTGGACTCAGGACTGGGTTTGGAATAGATTTGACTGTTAATCTTTGCCAGGAGAGCAATAGAGGAAGTGTGTCCTTGGTGATTCTCCTGGGCGTTTGGTTGTCTTTCAGTTCCACTGAGTATGGTATCCTTCTGTAGAGGCTGGCTCATTAAGGAGTAGAGGGTACTGTGCTTTGGTGGTTCTGCTCTTAACTTGACCAGCCAGTTCCAGAAGGTGGTGCTGGGAGGCTGCTGCTCAGCCCTGTGGCATTATGCTGGGGTCCCACAGGGATCCAACTTGTCCCCCAGATCATTAGGGGATTTAGAGTGAGGGTGCTGTCTCCAAGATCATTAGGGGATTTAGAGTGAGGGTGCCATCACTATATGCAAATGACACCCAACTCCGTTTCTTTTTAACTTCTGTGTTGGATGGGCCTGAACAGATGCCTAGAGAAAGGCAATGGGATGGATGAGGTCCAGTAAACTGAAGTGCAGATAAGACCAGAATGGGACGCTGTGGGTTAATGACAAAGAGGATCGAGGTTCAACCTGTCCTGGAGAAGGTTATACACTTATTGAAGGAGCAGGTTCACAGCTTGGGGGTCCTGCTGGATCCTGACCTATGGATGGAGGCGCAGGTTTCCTCTGTTGCATGTTAGTGCCCTTTATCAGCTCCAGCCGATGTGCCAGCTACAGCCCTTCATCAAAGCATGATCCATGCACTGATTATATGCAGGTTATATTACTATAACATATTCTGTGTGGGGCTATCCTTAAACATTGTCTGGAAACTTCAGCTGATCCGAAATGTGACTGCCAGGCTACTATCAGGGATGGGATATAGTGGTCATATAACCCCATGCTGAAGGATCTGCAGTGGCTCCCCATTTGGTTCTGGGTACAATTCAAAGGTCAAAGAAGACGGGGACGGCAAAGGATGAGATGGTTAGACAGTGTCATCGATGCAACGAACATGAAATTGAGCCAACTTCAGAGGACAGCGGAAGACAGGAAGGCCTGGCATGATCTGGTCCATGGGGTCGCGAAGAGTCGGACTCGACTGTGCGACTGAACAACAACAACAATTCAAAGTGCTGGTTCTTACCTTTAAGGCCCTAAATCTTCTTCCACACTGTCCAGCCCACCAGCTAAAAGCTTCCTCATGAGCCTTTCTGTCGGCTTCCACCTGTAGAAGGGAGGCAAGTAGCAACCAGCGGACAGGGTGTTTTCAGTGCTGTCACCTTGCCTTTGGAATGCCCCCTCTCCTTGAGATTTCCCTGCCACCTACCCTACTGCCTTTTTTGACACCAGCCCCACACCTTTCTTTTTACCTAGGTTGTCGCATCATTTGCTTTCAGTCTGAGAAACGTTTAAGACTCATTTTGAGCTGTTCCATGTTTTATGTTGTTTTGTGCTCTAGCCAGGTTTTTAAGGAACAACTTTTTATGGTGTTGTATTTTTTAATTACGTTTTAATTTGCAAGCTGCCTTGGGCAGGAAGGCTAGAGAGTCAGTATAGACATTTTCTAAATAAATAACGTAATTAAATTTCCCAAATAAATTTTCTAAATAAATAACAGCAAAAGAAAAAACCTGCACCAGGAAGAAAATATTAGTGCCCCACAATCCTATGAAAATATGTCTGTGCCCTGCAAACTAAGGGGAGGGTCTGTGAATGAACAGAGTATTTATGGCAATGGGAGATGAATGAATGCAGTATTACTTGACAGGTTACTCTTCCAGTTTTCTCAGGAAAAACAAAAACTTTGAGTGACACAGCAAGACCTTCGCCCCAAATAAGTCCTGGGTTATACATATGCATATAAACAAATATAAAGCCAACAGTCGTGATAGTCTGACCCGCAATCAACAGTCATAAGACTTATAAGGAATGCTGTACATGTATTGTGCTCTGAAGCATTACAATATGATACACAACTTAATAGAATTTATAAGCCAAGGTACAACGTCGTCTCCGGATTATTTACCAACGTTTCAAAAAATGAATCTTCTTCAGGAGATATTATAGAGGTGCCAAAGCTCTCATTTTCATAAAAGTTAGACAACAAGTCTTAAGCATCTGCAACAATAATAATTTTATCTTTGTTATGAACACATACAAGATATTTCAAACTATCTGTTTTAGTCGTGTGTGTCCAGATTTTTTTTATACATATGCATGACATGCTGACTTCTGGAGATAAAATTGGATGGGCGGACACAGTAGGCTGCAGCTAGAGTAGGTGATCAGAGAAAATTGCTGCCTTCTCTTAAGACAATTTAAGGGCATTTGATTTTTCTTAATTTTTATTTAGAATTTTTTATGGGGCCTCTTTAGGAACCTGCCTGAGGTGGATACAAAATAAAAACAAACCATTAAACAATCTTGATTAAAACTGAGCATTAAAAACCCAGCCCAGCGGAAAACTGTAGAACATAAAAACAGACCACTGATTTTCTTGTGTCTTAGAGCATCAGAGTTTCACTGGAAACAAAGTGCTGCTACACTGAGTTAACACCTAGGAGGAAGCAACAGAGCTTTGCATCATGCAGCCCGAGTGCAATGGGCTGTCTTCATCAAGAGACATTCCAGCACCATTGGCTCTGATTGCTCAGAGATACTTTTAGGAGAAGCCCTGCATCTTGGGTTTTATTGTTACCTGTCCTGTAGTTTATGTATAACTGTTCAGTCTTCATCAGGTAGAAGGGTCTGCACCCTTCTGGTCGTGTGAAGTCAAGTGAAAAGCTTTCCTGGCCTGGCTGCCATTATAACTGGAAGACGCATCCAGAGCAGGTTGTGAAACCAAATAATCAGGTGTGGATGAGCCGCACCAGTAAAAGGTGGTCCCCAAATAACTGGGGATGTCCACTGTCACTACTTCTGTTTCGTTTGGATTTGGCTTCTGATCCCTTCAGCCAGCTATAGTTGACAACCACAGATAAATGCAATAATAATGAGAGGTTGCAGGATTAAGGTCAAATGCTGCAGAGCTGTAACAGCTGCCTGGTTACAAAACTGCCTCACAGCTGAAAGGTCTAATAGGGCCAGTGGGGTTCAGTTTCCCCTATTGATATTTCAAACTTTAGTCACTGTCATGGTAACAAAATGCAGTAGTGCATGAATGCACCATGGTTTGCAAATTAGGAGCTTTAAATAAATATACTCTCTGCTTTCTACAGATTTTCCCTCCTTTTCCCTTTCAGCCTTAACTATGATTTAGCATTGCTTCTGTACTATCTACATTGCGTGCTTAATATTAACCTTTCTGGTTAGGGTATGTAAGGAGGATTTACGTTGAAGAGGGTTGGAAGAAGGCGTTCTTCCAGTTTGCAACCCATAGTTCAGAAAGGGCCAGCATTACAAATGTAAATGCCCTTAGTAATGAAGCCAGAATGGCTCAAGTCTGGGAGCCTGATGGCATCCAAGGTCACTTTATTGACATATATTGATTACTGTAATTATTCTAATTACAACAGTGAACCTAAATGATGTCTTTTAAGCCTGTAATTCCTGTTATCTCACTTACCTATTACTGACAGTTGTTCCGATTGTGCTGTGGAAAAAATGTAAACATGTAATTCCTACCCAATGAATTACCTAGAGTTGCCTATGCCATATTTGGTAAAAGGAATGAAAACATGAAATCAGTCATCATGTGCAGTCAATGCGTAGGGGGAAGCCACTGACTAGCACACAACCAAGAGGTTCTCATTTGCCCTGTTTGCAGCCTCATCAAGGGCTCAGTCAGTTGCCGCTCTCTTGAGTTCATAGCCGATTATCCTCGAAGGGTCAGAATAGGACAGGCAGAGGGCAAAAGCTAGGGCAGGGCTGCTGTTCCAGTTCCTATGAGCACTTGGCTGCTCCTTTGCTTGGCAGCCTGCTGATGGGAGATCACATGCTTCTGGTCTAAAGCAAAACAACCTCAGCAAGAGCAAAAACAGAGTGGCTCCTGCCCATTCCAGCATCCCTTCCCTTGCCCTGTGTATACATCAGGCTACACTGTATATTTCATAAACTGTTACCTGAGCCTGCCCTGTCTGTGCCAGCCAAACTATCTGCTAAATTTGGGATATTATGTTCGCCCAAGTCAAGTATCAAGTTATCTGGATCACATGCGCTTCCAGCCAGTATTTAACTCTGACACCCGCTGTCAGATTCAGTATTCCCCTACACAGTGTGGATCGAAACAAGAGAAATCTGGTGTCCTTCACTTTACTTTTCAAAGTTTTCATCCATCTTTATTTTTCTGTCTCCTCTTTTATTTTCTTTCGTTGGTTGTGTGGAAGAGCAGAACAACGTTTTAAGTTGCCTTTCAAATCTGATCATCATGTTTCTGATTCTTCTAGCCACTACGGAGTTAAAGGATTTTTTTGCCAAGGCCCGGAATGGTTCAATCCGCCTCATCAAAATCGTCATTGAAGATGGTAAGTCTTGTTAATCTGGGGTTTCTTTGCATCCGTTTGCTCTGCACATCACTGCTGTGGCTCCTCTAGTCATAATAGTCAACTTGGGGATGGAGGAAGATCGTCACTCTGGAGTTACCAGAGAAAAACTCCAGGGGCAGCTACTGAGATGCACCTCCTTAAAACACAGAACTTGGTACCAGGAATGGAATCAGTCTGGCTATAACTTGAAGGGAGCAGGAACTTGTGTTCTTATTTGGTTTTTCTTCCCAGTTCAGTTTCTTTGGGAAACATTGTGAACCCCTTCATATGTTGATGTCTTTTATAACCTTGTGGTTATTTGTGGAGCAATACATGGGGTTCACTGTTCACATATTGGTATAAGGGACTCTCCCTGTAGCCCAAGATTGGTCACTGTCTTCTGATGAGGTAGTGAAGATTGTTTACTGTACAGACGACAAATTATTAAAGGCTGTCAGAACATTGACCTGGGGAGCAGAACAAAGTGTCTTTCAGTGTGCCTTGTAATAATAATTCTGGCACTTAAGAGGCTGGTAATACTGTCTAAGAGATGAAACATACTTCCTGTATTGTAATGACTTACAATGGTATTGCATTGCATGGCTCCTGCAAAATGGCAGATATCTAATTGTATTCCACTAAGAAACTCTATACAAATGTTCTGAAATTGGGTACTGTCAATGAACTGGATTCCATCAATCTGTCAGTGGAAGAGACTGATGATTGCAGATTGTCCCCACTTCCCCTTCCCCTCAGTATGATTCATCCCAACATGGTTTGTAGACTGTCTCTGGCTTAAACCCTCTGGAAAGCACTGATTTCTTCAACCAAATATCAGAGCTGTCTCAGTTTAATCTACAAAAGCTCCAAGTTTCTTGTGCCTTACATGCTGTGTCTTTTGGAAATACAACCCAGGAACTGATCCAATTGCCTTACTAACTGTAAGCATTTTGGTGGGACTACAATAGAAGTCAGGGTAAAAGGACTCTAAGCTTTTGTATCAAAGGGCATTCAGTCGTGCAATCCTACCACCTGCAGTTCAAAGTGATACAGCCTACACAAAGATTCACCTGTTCTCATTGAGAACTAAGCCCGTGTTTTAGAGTGACCAGTAAGCTATGTGTTTACCTTCCTGTTTACTGGAATTCAGTTACTTTGGGACAGAATGTCATTTCTATCTCAACTCTCTTTTCGCCTCCTTACCTTTGTTATTTCCATCATGGTTACAGGATTGAGGAATTTCATTTATGAGTAGGAACTGGTCTGGGATTTTCCAAATAAGAAGTTTAGTGCTGTATGGAAACTCATTATCGAAATGTCTGGATTTTCAGATTATTTACATTAATTGTGTGCCCCATGAAAATCCATATTACTCTCAAAAAATTAAAAATTATTATTTTAAAAAATCCATATTACTACAAACATACGGAAATACCATTATTGTATACCTAGTCTATTGATTTTAAAAGTCTCCCAGCCTACCTGAGTTTGCACTATAGTTTAGTCTTGTGGTTGATCAAAAATTGGAGCATCTCAGTTCTGCTTCATTTAAATGTCACTTTGGGAAGGTTTTATAAGGCCTGAACGTTCTTTTTGTGAACAGAGTTTTCCAAGCAGGTCACTACTATCTGTATGAGGATCCCAACCTGCTATGGTGATCCCTATGCCACATAAGATGACTCAGTTGAATCCAGATATACCTTTCAGAGTAGCTGATTCAGTATTGGACTATTTAGAACTAGTAAATACATTTCTATGAATGTAATATAGGAAGCATACCCAGTCATTACTGAATGGGGTATTTTTATCTTTGTGATGTCTTACTGGAAAACTTGAAGGCCTGTGGGGGAACTACATAAAAGGAAATTAACTCTTGATTCCTTTAATCTGCTATATTTGGTAAAGAGGCACCACTGCAGACAGCATGTGTATTCCCACAGTAGCGTAGGGCAAAGAATAGACCAGGAACTGCTCTTTTAGTCTGTGGTTTTAGAAGAGGAGAGGTTGACAGTAAAGAATCTCATTGAAGAGTTCTGATTTCTGGTAGTTTGTGGCCTTAGACTGAATGGAAGTGCTACAGAAGGTAAAAAGCTGCAGTTTAATCCTGTTTTGGAAGTCTTTGTTCTCTGAGTGGCGTATCTGAGGGAAAGGGGAAGTAGGAAGCATGAAAGTCTGAGGACATGCAAGTCACATTATCCATTTGTTTTATGTGAACATTATCTTCATATTATAGTTTTTGCTGCAATCGAACATAAATTTTAATTCAAAATTGTTTATTAAATTTTAAGTCAAAATAGTTTATTATTCCTACAAACCACATTGTTAGTTAAAGCTTTCTTCTTTGACAACACTTGCTCCTTTCCCATTCCTGGGCCCCTGTTACCTAGTTTGATATACTTTTTTGACTCCTTGCTTAAGCCACATAAGCCTTTCAGTGTTTTTTTGTTTCGATATAGGTATTTCTAATGATAAGATTGTGGCTTGCGATGCTGTTGGCTCTGGAACAATCTGAAATGATCTGATGTGCATTAAAAGTGTCACAAGTGAACCCTAAAGTGGAACACTGCAAAGTAGCCTTGACCTTGTATAGGATTCTGCCCCTCAAGCCTGTCCAGGAATGAGAGGGGAATCCTACACTTTTACAATACATTAAACAACAACCCAGAGAGGTAGGCTACCCTCTCTGGTTTTCAGAACAATAAGCCACCAGAACCTCTTTTAACTAGAATCCCCTTCCAGCCTAAGAGCAAGGTCCAGACTCTTAGCTAGTATCTAGGGCTTAACACATTAGCACCTCATTCCCAGAGATGTACACTTAATGCTCAATGGTAGCGTGTGGCCAGGTAGGCACAGGAAATAGACTTGGAATCCCAGTCACAACATCAAAGACAAGTTAGAAACAAGAATAATGTTTATTCAGTCAGAGCTTAGCAAAATAGACTATAAGTTTACAAAATAAGAAAGCCTAAGGCGATTTGCCTTAACTAAACATTACTGATTCATAGTTACCCCATTCAGGAACATCTACAGTCCAAATAGTCCAAGGGATCATGAAGGGAAATCGCTTGTAACAGGAAATAAGGCACAGCCTGTTACCAAAAGACAGAACAGGAGAATGCAGGAGACATTTAGGAATCAGTATTTCTATACAGACCTGGACAGCCCAGGATAGGCCAGTCTCATCCGACCTCAGAAGCTAAGCAGGGTCGGCCCTGGCCTAGTACATGGTGAGACCACCAAGGAGTACCAGGGCCATGATGCAGAGGCAGACGATGGCAAGCCACTTCTGAACACCTCTTCCCTTGAACACCCTATGGGGTTGCTATAAGTCAGCTTTGACTTGACGGCACTTCCCACCACCAAAGTTTTCCAGATTTCTGTTTCCTCACTGAGAGTGTTCGACAATGGAAGTCCGAAGCCGAGCCATCCTGAGCAGAGTTGTGCCTTTCTGAGTCTCTTGAGGTCAAAAAGCTTAGAAGAGGTGTGACTGGGGTTGCCAGGAATGGCAACTAGCAGGAGACTGGGGTGGGCAGGGACAGGAGGTGATGTTACTTTCAGGAAGAATCGGGGAAGTGATGTCAGTTCTCTCTAGTAAGCACCCAGAAGTGACATCATACCATCACGGATGGCAGTTTTTAAAATGTTAATTTGCTTTTGCAGGCCACAGCGATGATGGCAAGCAACGGGAGCTGGGAGCAAGGGGTTGCCCACCCCTGGTGGGAGGCTGGCAAACCTAGATGTAACTCTGCTTAGGGTGGCACTGTAGCACATATGTACCAGTAACAAAAGATGGACTCAGATAGAATTGTTTGTATGGAGTGAGATCCGAATGGCTGACAGGTTAAAAATCTATTTCCAATTTCTAGGCACCTGGCGTGTTTTCAGTCCCCTAATGCTGTAAATGAAAAAAGTAAAGTTTCCTTCTACAGCTTGGATTGAAGGGCAGCTTGATCTGTGAGATAATGTTCCTAAAACTCAGATTCGGTTTTCGTAACACTTCTCCATTATTAGAAGGCATTATAAGGAATATCATATATCCATCTCAAGAGTAATTTAAAAATATTTATTTCAAGACAGATTTTAGATATAAATATAAGTGAGCAGTTGGATGTTCAGTGTGAGCATCACAGAAATCTACCCCTGTTCGGTTATTGCCACTTGGCAGGGCCAGTTCCCAATGTTCTTGCTTTCAGGAATACAGCTCACCATGAGCTTTGGCTATACCACATGAAGTGGCCTTTATACTGCACCAGGGCATTGGTCTATCCCCGTCAGGGCTGTCTACTCTGACTGGTGGTGACTTTCCAGGATTTCAAGTAAAAGACCTCTGTCTTTTCTATCACCTGCTTACCTGATGCCAGTCTTGAACCCGGGATCTGCAAGCAAGGCAGATGTTCTGCAGCTGAGCCATGGTCCCATTCCCCAGTGTGTTAAGGCTCATGAAGACAAGAGAATAATTCTGGTGACATAAAGACAGGAGAACTACATATGTCAGTGCTGATAGGTCAGTACTGTTTCCCGCCCCCCAGGGTTTAAGGAGACAGCATACATACTTTATGGAATTTATTTACTTCATTTGTAGTCTTCCTTTCTTGGTGAAGCAGTTTAAAAATGCCATACTCGTAATACATACAGAAAACCATGCAGTGAAAGTGTGTTGCATATATCTTTATTGTGGAATTGGCATTCTAGCTGCATCTCAGCTTCCCGGACAGAATAACTTTGCATCCATTTCTCCCAGACTAAGGCAATCAAAATGATACTTGCCTAACCAAAGACAAGCCTTAATCATGATCTCTCCTCTGCGCGTTCTTGTTCCAGTGTACATTTATCCTATCTGCCTCATATACCAAATCCCGCATCTTCCATTTTTCTCTCTGTGTATATCTATTGCCAGAGAAAATTATTTACTGTTCTTGTATGTAAATTATTTTCAGGTGTAACAGTTTAGGTTTACTAAATTTGTATTACAGATAAATCCATAATTTTGATTTCTTTAA